TGCATGCAAAGATCAACAACACAAAATTCACAAACCAATGATATTCATAAATGACTGATTATAAATAAAAATTAATCAGGGAAAAGTAAAACTGAAAAGTAAGATAAAAATTCTTATAGTCTTGAGGAAGTGCTCTAGTCTATAAGGACAGGTAGTTTTGATTTTTTTTAAGTAATGTTTTGATTAATTTTTTGAGAACTTCATACAATGATCCTATTCATTTTTCGTCCCTGACTCCTTGCAGATCTCCCCTAACTCCCCCCTTCCCACCTTTGTGTTCTCCCTCTCACACTGCTCAGGGAGTAGGACAGAATCAGTTGAAATTGCTTGCAGTCTAATATGACTAAACTTTCATTAATTGATTTACTATCTTTCGTACACTGATTTGGTGATCTTCTGGTGTGTGTTCTAGGTAGTATGGCTGTAGACAATAATTGTTTTCTTTCTTTCCCTCCCTCTTTCTCTCCCTCCCTCCTTCCTTTCTTCATTCCTTCCTTTCTTCACTTCTTTCTCTCTTTCTCTCTTTCTTTCTTTCTTTCCTTCCTCCCTCCCTCCCTCCCTCTCTCCCTCCCTCTCTCCCTCTCTCTCTTTCTTTCTTTCTTTCTTTCTTTCTTCCTTTCTTTCTTTCCTTCCTCCCCTCCCTCCCTCCCTCCCTCCCTCCCTCCCTCCCTCCCTCCCCCTCTCTCTCTTTCTTTCTTTCTTTCTTTCTTTCTCTCTTTCAGCAGGATCTCAGTCTGGCCTGGAGCTCACTATGTAAACCAGCCTAGCCTTGCACTTCTGATCACCCCGTCTCCACCTCCTAAGTGCTAAGAAGACAGGCACATGCCATAATGCCTAGTTTTTGTTTGTTTGATTGGTTCTTTCTTGTTTGTCTGTTTTAAGCTCATGTTTTGTATGAGATCAGAAAAAAACGCAGACTATTTGCCTAATCAAGGCAACTGCTTCCTTTAAAACGTGGTCAACTGTGGTCTAATTGTTAAGTTTGGATTCACGTTTTCAATTCTCTGAATTTATGAATGCTTCCTTTATATAACATGATGTAAATTCTATTATTTATTGATATCCTCTCCTTGGTGTTGTGAGTTCATCCATCTTCCAGCTTTTGGGGTTTCATCATTTTGGTTTTGAGAAGAATGTCTCACTCTGTCATATAGGCTTCTGTGTCCCCCTCTCCCTCCAAGAGCTGTCTTCTGGGAAGTAGACCTGGCATTGTTGTGCTTCGAAGCTTTTGTGTTGGAGTGGTAACTGCAGTTAAAAAAAGGCAATAAACTGAAAGATGCTTCAAATTGGTGTGGAATATGAACACTGCCTTTTTTGACAGTCATATTAAAAGCCACATTCTCCAGTCTTTCTTTTCCTTGGACTTGACCTCACTACAGTAAAGCTGACTCGGACTGCATAGACACACAAAGTGGAGTTTTTTCATTCTGTAACAGGCACAAATGACTAGATAGGTATATCATGGATGTTTAGATTCCCTAAGGCAGATGTGCTAAGTGAATCTACTCTTTTTTTCCAGATGTACATAACATAAATTCTCTGTCTCCCCTCCCTCCCTCTCTCCCTCCTCCATCTCTCTCTGTCTCTGTCTCTGTATCTCTGTCTCTGTCTGTCTCTCTGTCTCTCTCTCTGTGTCTCTTTCTCTGTCTCTCTCTGTCTCTGTCTGTCTGTCTCTCTGTCTCTGTCTCTGTCTCTCTCTCTCTCTCTCTCTCTTTATCTCATTCCTTGTAGTGAAGTTAGTTATTGTAAGCCTAGAGGCCCATGATACCTCCTAATGGCTCATACCAGGGCTGACTTAATCACCAAAAGAGGGTCCTTGATGTCTTCTAAGTTCTAGAAACCTACAGAATTATCCATTAGACTGAATTTAGAGTATTTCAATGTGTTGACTTCATCAGCTTTTAGAGCGTTGTTTTTACAAATGCTGTTTATAATATTAAAGCCTTTATCAGCACATGTGTGTATTGTAACCCCTAGCATATGGTAGGAAGCAATATTCATAATACATTTTTACAATGTTAGCCTTACTCAGAACAGAGCTGAAAAGGGTCTGCCCTCTTCCACCTTGTCAGCCTCAAAACTTCTCAAAACAGGGTAGTTAAATTAGCTTTGGGAAAGAGGAAACATAGTAGGTACATCCAAATGGATGAAAATTTCTTAAAATAAAATACATTGTTAAAGATAATTTGTCTAGCTGGGCAATGGTGGCTCATGCCTTTAATCCCAGCACTTGGGAGGCAGAGGCAGGCGGATCTCTGAGTTTGAGGCCAGCCTGGTCTACAGAGTGAGTTCCAGGACAGCCAGGGCTACACAGAGAAACCCTGTCTCAAAAAAAAAAAAAAAAACCAAAAAAAAAAAAGATAATTTGTCTAGAGAGCCACTGATTTTCTAAAAATATAAGCCACAATCTGTCATAAGTATTTATTGTAATAATCCTAAATGAGTACATTAAACACTTTCCCCTGGTCTCTACAATTATGGCTCTGAATAATAATGTCTTAAGGGTATTGTTTTAATGATAACCAGATGAAAAAAAGTAGAAGTTTCTCTGCTAAACTCCAGAGAGTCCTGCCTGACCTGCCAATCAATCAGTGACGGATGAGGGTTTCAGGTCTGTTGGCAGAATTCTGCTTTTTCTGAGTGTCTCTTACATCTGGAGACAGTCTTCTCAGGGTTGAGTTGATTTAAGCTCACAGGATGAAGCAGAGCAGCATCTTTAAATCAAAGTTAAAAACTGTCTCTGGTGCCAGGAATAAAGGATGTTGCGCTCAGTCATTTGTAAGGAGATGCAGATAAGTAAGTGAATAATATACATGGGTGAAAGCAGTTTACTTTCTGCAAATCTCTTCTGAGGAGCTAAAACAGTAGAGAAGATGGAAAGGGACTCAGAGTGTAAAGGAGCTTGCCACCAGGCCTGACAAAAGGATGTCCTAACCAGTCCCCCTCAACACTAATAAGAGGCATGTATTTATTTATGTATTTATTTATTCCTTTCTTTCTTTCTTTCTTTCTCTCGTTCTTTATTTCTTTATTTCAGAAAAGAGGGTAGATAGGAAAGTTGAATTTTCACAATAATGTCATTCTTTTGCTGGAGTCTCTCTCTCCATTCTGAGTTCCAGCCACAGAAGCATCGTGGTCCAGATTTTTCCACAGGTACATCCTATCTAGAAAGTGCTAGTACCTGGTAGGCCCTCTATTGGTGTTCATTATGTAAATAAACCTAGGGAACGAGATCCATCCTAGCAGCCTTCCTGTAAGTGTGCACTGGTGTTATCTTGCTGTTTGAGGCCTCCTCCTTCACTAGCTATTATTTATGAGCATGAATGCTTTCCTGACGCTTCCATAAAAATTCACCCTGAACAGAGTGGCTGAGTTCCACACCAATCTCCTCTCTTATAATTCTGGAGGCCTAGATGTTGGCCTTAGACTCCTTCCTGAGTCTCTCCATATTCCCTCTCTTCTTTCTAAGTCTGTGTCCAGAGTTCACCTTTTTGTTAGTCCATCTATCCTATTGGATTAAGGTGTCTAATGATTTCATTTTAATCTGGCTATATTTGTAAGAATCCTAGTTTCAGACAAGTTATACACTGAAGGACTTTGGCACATCTGAGTGTGAAGGACATAGGCTTCAGGCTTGCAACAGAATGAATGCATTTCTTTCTTGAGCGACGTCTTTCTTTTGCCAGTCTTAAGGCAATTTATTATATGATGTTAAATTTGGACTTTTTAGGTTTAAGTTTAATTTGGGCACCAATTATATTAAACAAAATCATTTGAACTTCTTAAGTCTGGAATGTTCTACTATAAAACAAAGACACTCAACCAGATAGCTCTTCCTGTTGACCAGCTTCAAGAGGTGCTGTTGACAGCACACAACTCCATATTCTCTTTTGCTCAGTCTTAGATGTACCCAAACTCTCCTTTATGATCAGACTATTCTTCCATCCCCACAGCTAATAATAATGGTTCTATATCAGCACACAAAACATTAATTAACATTAATTAATTAATTGTCATGATTTGGCAATTCCATGGTGTAACATCACTGTTGTATACAAAAACTTACAAGTTTATTAATTAAAAAATAATATGAAGAAGCAGCAGTCCTGAAATATTCTATGGCATTTTTAGTAATCTTAATATTTGTATTATAATAGCATTGTCTATAATTTTATTTAAAGGAGAAAGGTACTGTTTTACCTAATGAAAGTTATGTAAGATTTTAAGTTGTTAAGGTATTTATAGTAGTGCCAATAATCTGTTTTTCATGGATTTTTATTATTTTGGATTATTTTGTCTTTTCAGAATTATGAGCAATACATTTCTATTGACATGTGACAATTGTGCATATCCACAGAGCAAGCCAGTTCCATTAACATGTATATGAATATAATATGCAATTATTGGTTAGCAATAATTAGCAGTTTTTATAAATATTTGTCATTTTTTTTGTCTTGGAATTCTTCAGTGCCTTTCTTCTTATTCTTTATAAAATATTAAAGAAGTTTTTATGCCCAGTAGCCACCTTTCTGTACTGGAGAATATTAGGACTTATTCCTTTAGTTTATTCTGCTATTTTTTTTTAAAAAAAAGCATATTCTTAAAAAGGATACCCAAGATATGGAGGTTTCCACATTGTGACTTTTCTGATCATTGTAGAATATTATCTGTACGAAATCCAGAAAACTAAAGCTCAGGGGATTCAAGAAAATCAGGAATAAGATTCTGCTGCTAATTTCAAAAATAATTGGCAACTCTCCAGAAATTTCCTTTGAGAGCAATTACAAAAACATTTGAAATGCATTATACTATGCCTAGAAAAAAAAATGTTAAGAAAGGAAAATAAAAGGCCTTTTTGCCAACTCTGGGATTCAGTATTTTTCAAGCCTGCAAGGCTCCAAAACACTTTGATCCTCAATAGACACAGAATTCAGGGCGTTCTAGGCCTCACCTGGAAGCTGCTGCCCTGGGCTTCACTGACCAGCTTCTTTCTCTTCCAGCTGCCTCTATCCTCAAAAGGGAGAAAAGGCTGAGGACGAAGAATGTGCACTTCAGCTGTGTCACCGTATACTACTTCACCAGGAGACAGGGCTTCACCAGTGTGCCCAGCCAAGGTGGCAGCACTCTGGGGATGTCCAGCCGTCACAACAGCGTGCGTCAGTACACCCTGGGCGAGTTTGCAAGAGAACAGGACCGGCTGCACCGGGAGATGCTGAGAGAACACCTCAGGGAGGAGAAGCTCAACTCTCTAAAACTAAAGGTGAAACATTCGTGCGCTTTTTGCAAAATTTCATGTTCTTAGAGCATCTAAGCCAACCATTTTAATGCATGGGTCTGACGCTATTATCCATGACAGTCAAGCTGCCCATGGATTCCTCTTCTTCTATTTCTGTTTCTTTCTTTCTTCTTTTTATAAAGTTGTACTTTTTCTGCTTATCTGATATTATTTATTCATCCACCCCACAAATGTTTACTTTTGGATATCGCTACATCATACACCACCTGTATGAGTGTGCTTTAACTGGGGCTAACAGGAAACTAGAAATAAATGTGCTTCCCTATCTATGAGAGGTTATATTTTAGTAGGAGTGGAGAGTATCAATCAAGTGGTCAAAGAAATTGAATCAAAATTTCATTTGAGGCTAGGAAGGAAAGTTGTAAGGTGTTATAAAAGTCTTTGATAGGAAACATGTGGTCAGGAAGTCAAGAAATACTCCCAGAAGAAGGGACAGGAAGATCTCAACTAGGGACAAGGCACAGAGGGTGCCCAGGGGTGTTTGCTGGGCCTGAGGCAGGTGGGTTACACACAAGGCTGTGGAACCACAGTAAAGTTTTTGTCTCTCTTTGTTCTCAGGGAATCAAAAGTTACCATAAGTCTTAAGCACAGGTTGTAATGTATTATGACAATCACATAATCATGTGAGAATAGCTTGAGGGTGAAAAAGGCTATGTTAAGAGAGCAGAGGTATAAAGTCAGACCGGTCAGTGAAGCAGCTATTAGAGCTAGCCAGGAGAGAGGTGATGGGAGGGTAGATTGGACTGAACACAACAAAGAGAAAGAGATGTTTGAGACAGGGACTTAGGAGCTCAGATAAGCAGGCCTGGGCGATGAGCTGGATTTACAGTGACAGAGGGATAGTTGGAAACAGGGATCTGACTTGCAGGTGAATGGCTGTAGGTGACACACTATTGCTTGTTCACTATGATGTGGAAAGACAAAACTATAGAAAAAAGTAGATAGATGGTAAGGTCTTCTCAGACACGAGTTGGAAGACATTTATGTTGTCAAGAAGTGTGGGGACAGCGTCTAAGTTGGAGAAAACAAAATCCATAAAATACCTTTTGCCGACTAGAAGCATGGATTTGTCACGCATTAATGTATAAAAACACCCTCCCATTGATATTTAATGGCAAAAAATTTTGGGAATAGTCACGACAAACCCAATCATTAAGGACGGAAACACCATAAGAATCTGTCACCCACCCTTACTTTCAATTAATGCAGAGGTGTGGCATATGCTTCAAAATATCGTCTTTTTTATAGTTTACTGTTTGTTTATGTGTCTCTTCTCCATTGTGTGAAAAGACAGGAAGTACAATTGAGCTCCACACACCCCAGTTTGAGGATGTCACACTTCCTTTCCCAATATGCGTGGCAAGTTTCATTGAAAGTTCCTTACCATGGTGGTTTTTGTTCTTCTGACTGATTTCCAAGTACCTAATTTAGCAATGATTATTAAGTTTGCTTCTGGACTCCAGCCTTTCCCTGTAAACTAGCTCCACTGCCCCCACCAAAGATGACATTAGTCACCAAGTTCAAATATTACTGAATTAATGATAGTGGCTGTCCATCAGATTTTTTATTTGCTAAGCCTTTTGTACATGCTATTGAATTTAATCCTCACAAAGAGCCAATGGAATAAAATCACCAAAACAGCTGAGATAAAATGAACACATAGGGAGTAAAGTTTCCTCACTGCCTAGGAAACTGGTTGTTATTATTTTGGTCCTTCTTATTAAATTAATTGATTACCCCATATAGGAACTAAGGACACTCTATCGTCTTCCAGGATCTAGTGATGTGTGCAATGGATTCTAACAACGGAGAGACTGTAAAGTCATCTGAGAACCAAAGACTTACAATGGTGACTGATGTGTGACTCTTTAAAGGAATTGCAGGCAGCCTTCCACACTTTGATGCTGCAGTTCTTCCTCCTCTCTTCTAACAAGCAGTACAGGAAAGGAAGGAATAAAAGAAGCACTCTTGGTGACTCATTAGTAAAATTATGCTTAGAGATAGGTAAGGACAAGCAGTCTTCTCAGCAGGCAGGTTCCTAGGGTTTCCTTCTCATGTGAAAGCATGCAGGCTTCCCTTTTGTGCGGTTGTAAATGGAAAGCATGGAAAGCGTTTGGCTGTCGTCCCCTCTTCCCAATGACCAGGAAGCTAACAGTTAAGGGATTTTGCAGTGATCTGAGCTCACCCTTTCCTGACTCAGTACACATGTACTCAGAAACACATGTTCCGTGAAACTAACACCTCACAGCCGTGTGGACCAGTGTTCTAAAATATGAAGGGAAACACCTACACATTTTCATGGCAGTTCTAGCATTCATTTTCATGATTTAAAAGAAAAATTTCTTGAGTTATACTTGCCTAAGGTTTCATTATCCCAAATCCCAAATTAACTAGCACAAAATGATAGTTGTGCCCAAAATTTCACCAATACTAGGAATTTTTCTTATAACACATTTGTTTTCATGTATAAATTCCTCTGTGAAGGAAATGTCACAAAGTTGCTTCTATGGCTTTGGATGGAGGCAACAGAAAAATTGCTTCTAATTTAGTAATTCATTTCCTGAGTTGTGAGTTATACAGATATTAAGAAATTGTATAGATTCAGACACTTAGATTTGTAGAACAAATCCGATTTTATTGGAGGGTTTCACGTGTATCGTGTTTGTTGGCACCATGGATGTTTCACACATTGACTATAAATAAGTAATGGAGAAAACTAATTGAATGAAATGCATGTTCCTAGAAGAAATAAGTAGCTTTAGGTTTCTAAATTACAGAGTACAGTTCCGTTTTTCCTGCCAAGCTCATTCAGATGTCACACATTTCATGGTAATCAATGTAGTCATTGTAATACTATCCTCCTTTGCAAATTAAATGCTTAGATTTAATAATCCGCACCACACTCTTGAACAATTGCATTGCATTTTATTCCTATCTCTCTTGTTCCTGGGGAATGCATCCAGCAGCTGTTTCCAGGTTCCACAGAGGGTTGGTGTCCTAGTCGCCTCCCGTTTCACCTTAGAGGACTCTAGTGCATTGTTCAGAGAAATTGAATGTAGCTTGGGCAGATGTGACTTGCTTTTCCTTGCCAGTGTTTCTACAATCCAAGTCACCCTTTAACTTCCTGGGATCAAAGCTCTGCTCTTTACTTCTGGTTACCATCTCTAGCTGCTCTCTGGGATTATATTCTCAGTTTCTTCATTGAATATTCATCAGTGGTACTTGGTTACTAGCTCGTCTATGCAAATTTAAGGCAGAGAATGGCCAGCTCTAATGATGGATCCTCTGAAAAGACTCTTTCTAGATCATTTTCAAAACCTCAGATTGATGAGTACTGTAGTTATTTAATGACTTACTTCTGCAGTATTCCAATTCCCTGCTTTACCTCCAGCCTCGCTCCCTGCATCTCTTCAAAAGTCTTGGGTTAATTGTCCAGATAAAGAAAGAACTTAGATGTTCTTGGAAATGCATGGGATTAGGCACTTGGAGATGGATGAATTATCTCTCAAACCCACAGTTTCAACATTTTTAGATGTGATTTGAATTTTATTCCTTATGTCGCAATTTGTTTTTAAATCTGTCTTATCTTGTTGGTCATGGTATTGCTGAAAGCTAATTACTGTTCAGAACTTCTGGGGTAGACTTTGATCTACCACAGAAGATGGCTCCAGAAGATACTAAGTAGTAAAGCTTCTAAAAACGCATCTTAAATAGAGGGAAGCTTCAGCACCAAATGGAAAACTTTGCTGTGCCAAGTACCTGCCTTGTCTTATTCAGATTTATACAACTGATTTTAAAAAGTACAAAAAAAAATATAACTAACCAAAATGATGGAGACTGACACAGTGGGTCTCTATCATATATATGTACACACACTCACACATATTACTTAAGAATGTATTCTTTCAAAATATTGTAGTATTTTAGTTGACAAGAAACAACTAAGCATATGTAATCAAATTTTTACATTCTTCCGGTGAAAGAAATATTACTTTTTAATTCAGGAAAAAGTCTGCATAAATTCTCTTAATTTATTGTGAGGTGTACCCAGTGATGTTGCTTACTGGAATGAATTGTGTTTTCATTCTTTTCCATGGCCTTTCAGAATTAGCTAGGAAGGGAATATTTGACCCCAGACCTTGTCAAATATGATCAATAATAACTATGTTTTCATAGTGTAAACTGCTTAAATATGTCCTGGCATACTATTGGATGCATCCTGCTTATAATAATGCCACTGAAAGAGGCAATATTGCTCTAAACTACAAGAAGGATGAATTTTTAGAAAAGATAAATTTTATATGTTGATTTATCATTTCTGGTGACTTTTGTGGTGATATGGATTTCAAAGACTTCTTATGATTTCAGATGATTTACTTATTGAGCTTGAAGGCCTTATGTTGCATAAGTTTTGGCAGAAGTGATTAAAATGGTTTTAATTTGCCACGTGAAAGTCATAGCTAGTAAACTGAAGATACGTAAGTATCAAAGTGGTATGAATGTTTTCCTTCAGTTTGTCAAAGACCTTATAAACTAGGTCATCCTAGGAAGTCTTTCATTCAGTACATGTCTTGTACCTAGGAGCCTGGATTACCCCTGTCTGGTTACCCAGAATTCATGACTTTGTTAAAATAGTGTGTTTTCTTAAAACAGCTTTTACAGAGAGCTTTTTACAGAGAGGTTTCCACAGAGAAACCTGCTATTGTGTTCCGTAACTTTCACCCCAAATTGCCATGGTGGAACACAAAATATATTGATTATCGTTAACTCCAAGTGTTTAAAAGCAGTGCTTGCAGACAGGCACATATCTGAACATAGTTTATGGTTTCTATGTATTTCTGTTCAGTACTGTTAAACATTCCCAGTTCTTCCCACTGGTCTGCTGGGGCAGGGATTTTGCTGCCCTGGATTCCCCACCTCAGTACAATCTTGTTTATTAGTACCCTAGTACCCACCTCATGCTA